GCTTAATGACTGAGCCACCCAGGCACCCCCCCTTTGTAACTTTCAATAAGAAATTTGAGTCAATATTTGTCAACTCCCCACCAAGTCAGCTGAGGAAACCCAGCTCCTCTCTGTGTGTTTGTCTCTGGAACAGGGTCCCGGGGCAGGCAAGGGCGGAACCCACAGCAGTCAGTTAAAGAAGGACCTTAAACCCTTCCTGCTCCAGGGTGGCTTTGCGATCCTGGTTTTTGCAGCCAGATCCCCTTTTCTGACAGAATCCTGGGTGCCATATACAAAATAGTTAACAGTGGATTTGTTGTGACAGAGAGAGTGAGCCCCATAGGGCTGTCTCGGGGCCCAATTCTAGGGGGATGGTGTGAGTCGCTCCCAAAGGCCCAGAGCCCTTCACCAAGTCCCCCAGCCCGATCCTCTCACTTGACAGGTAAGGACACCAGGGCCCCGAGGGGACAGGGAGGTGGCCAGTGCTGCCAGGCTCCCTGCACCCAGGCCTCTATGGACAGGGTTGGCTGTCTCCTCACTCCTCTGGATGATGCTGAGACAAGCCCCAGGCTCCCAGAAACCTGAGCACGTCCAAGCCGGGGGTTCACAAGCTAGTTCATGGTCTGGTTAGGACTGTTTTTTCTCCTGCCCTCTCTCTGGAGCCCACCCCTCAAGGCTTTGTTCCTGCACCCCACTGAGACTGCTCAGGCTCTCGACCCCTCCTTGCAGCACCCCCATGCACACACCCCTCCCCACCTCCTGCCTGTGCCCTCTCTGGAGCCCTTGAACCTCTTCCAGTCCATGCTGAGGGCCTGGGTGAGCTTCTCCAGCCTCGTCGCCCTCAATTCCTCACACACCCGGACAACTCTCACTTGTCTAGGGCCAGCCCCGCCCTCCCTCCTGAGTTCTGCCTCCTCCGGGTCCATTTGGACATCTCAGCACATCTCAAATTAATACATGCCACCTGACTCCCGGCTCCCACCCTCCCCCAAACCTGCTCTGCCCCCGCTCTTCCTCCCACTAAGAGCAGCTTCATTATACACACGAGGAGGTGGCTTTAATGGGCTCTGCCTCCCACATCCCGCCTCCCCCGGCCCCCAGCACAGCTGCCCGTGTGGTGCGCCCTGACCTGCCGTTGCCTCTCCCCTGCAGGGGTGCAGCAACCTCCCAGCAGGTGTCCCTACTCCCCCCTCGGGTCTGTTCTCCTTACAGCAGCAGAGTCCTTGGTCCCACACTCTTCATCAGAACCTTCCAGAAGCTTCCCATCTCACTCAGCGTGAAAGCCCAAGTGCCTACAAGCTGCGCCCCACCCTTGCCTCCATCTCCCCACTCCAGTCCCACGGCTCCCTCCTCCTGCCACGGACGGGTGCTTCCCGCCACGCCACCCCTGTCCCGGGCCTGCGTCCCGGGCTCCCCCACCACCGCAGGATGGCCTCCGCACCCGCAAGGAGAGAAGCTCCACCCCAGCCCCCCTCAGCCTCCACTCCAATGTCATCCTGCCCTCCCCAGCTCCCCTCTGTCCAAGAGCAACACTCCTCAGGCCTCCTCCTTACCAACTGCCTCAGTCTTTCCTCCTGACGTGTTCTAGAGATTACTTAACTGTTAATTGTCTCGCACACACACGCACACACACAAATGTAGGCTCTGGAGAGGTAGGGACAGTATCGATCGTGTTCGATCCCAGCACCCGGGACAATGGGGAGGTTGTACACCCAGTAAGTGCCCCTCCACTTGCTCACCCTCCCCTCCCTTGGCCATGTCCCTGTGTGAGGCTCAGCCAGAACAGGGAGACAGAGGGCCAGATTTTGTCTAAAGGAGGTTTCCCCAGCTGGGATCAGGTTGGGGTGGGGGGAGGCCAAGACCAGAGGCTCCCCAGTCCTGGTGTCCAGCTGGAGACAACAGAACGAAGGTCATTTCAAAACCAGCAGGGCTCCTAAGCAGAGGCAGTGGGAGGGGGTTGCGAGGGGTCACGCCCAGAGGGGTTAGGAGGATTGGGAAGGGCTGGGAGGGGCTCCTCCAGGCTGAGCCCAGAGCCCAGACACTCCCAGGGGCCTGGCCAGGAGACGCTGAGGCAGCCAGAGACCCCGGGTCCACTCTGCTGCCTCCGCTCCCCTCCTTCCTCAGAGGAGAGGAGACCTGGAGGCCTGTGTAAGAGCACGGTATCTGGAGTCCGGCACACCCAGGCTCAAATCTTAGCAGTGTCTCTTTTCTAGCAGTGTGACTTCAAGCTTATGCCTCCTGCCCCTGGGAATCCCTCAATCGGTCTTATTTTTTTAGGGAAAATCCTCACAAGGATTTGAGGTGGGCCTGGATTATTGGTTTACCAGTGGAAACCCTCATTGGTGAACATGTCCCCTGCCCTCCAGCCCCACGACATCCTCAAGCTGAGGAACCGACCCCCACATGTCCCAGGGCTAGTGCTAACGAAGGGCAGCTGCTCCACATGCAACCTGGGACCCCACACTGTCCTGGGGCTTGGACCCTCGGGGCTCCTGTCCTGTGGGCTGTGTGTGGTAGAACCCCGCACGAGGGGTAGGAGGCCCAGCCAGCCCTGTGGGTCACCGAAACCTCCTTCAGCCCTGGTCCACCTCCCTCCTTCCTGGTTTTCCAGATCCCACCCTCACTTTGGGTTCAGACCTAACCCATACAGACCCCCAAAGCCCTTCCTGGGGTTCCTGGCCTGGATGGGTAAAGTGCAAGGACATAGTCATCAGCCAGTGCTGATGTGAAAAGAGAGCCCTGATGCCAAAGACATGGGTCCCAGCCCCTGCCTGGCCTCACCTCTGAGCCTCTCTTCCAAGGGCATCAGATGGGAAGATGGGGCCAACGCCCTGGTAGACTCAGCAAGTCTGGAAAGACGGGCAGATGCCCAGAGGCCTCCGGGAAGCACCGGAGAGTACTGTTAAGGGGTGGACCAGATGTCTAGGTTCGAGCCCCGGCTCATAGTGGGCCAAGGTCCTTACCACTGTTGCCCCTCAGTTGTCTAATCTATAAAACGGTACATATAATTCAAGACAATTAAGGTTGAAACATGATCACACATGCCAAGAGTCGAATGTAACCATTGGCCCCTACTATTTTAAGATGAAGACATGGCACAGCAGCATTACAAACATGTTAGTCTCGTATAAGAGTTTGACCTTCTCTAAATGCACCGCCCCTGGAACTGTGCACACGGCCCTTGGTCCGGGTTAGAGGCTCTTTGAGAATGTGCGGGCAGGACATAGGCTTCTGCTCCTCAGTCCGCGCCCCCCGCTCTCTGCCCCCAACTCCGGAGGGTGGATGAGGTGGCGCCGTCACTTCCCCAGGTCGGCCCCCAGGGGGCGCTGCCCAGGGCCGGGCTGGCTTGTTCCAGGGCCCCTGTGTGTTGCCCTCCCCAGCTACCTGGACAGCCTGGATCGGATTGGGGCCGCCGACTACCAGCCCACCGAGCAGGATATCCTCCGAACCAGGGTCAAAACCACTGGCATCGTAGAAACCCACTTCACATTCAAGAACCTCCACTTCAGGTGAGGCCCGGGGAGCCTCCCGTACCCTGGCGAGGGCACTGTGACAGATGGGAGACACCAGCCTCTCGGCCTCATCTTGTCTGCCTTGGGGAGCTCTCCAGTTGGGACAGGCAGTTAGATACAAGAAGGGACCTGTCTGTGTGTCTGTTTTCCACCAAGTTCAGGGGCCAGGACGACCAAGGAGTCTTCCTGGAAGAGGCATCCTGAAGTGGGTCTCCAAGGAACAGGGAGGATTTGAGTGGACAAAGGAGGGGAGTCCTGTCCCTGGGTGACTTCTGAGGAGGAGGAGGGCAAATCCCCCAGTGGTCCCCTGAAGGCCTCCTTGTGGGCGGGGGAGGGAATGAGGATGGATAAGCCCAAGCAGTGTCTGTGAGACCCCAAGGCCCCAGATAATCTCAGAGCTGGAAGGGGCTTAGAGATCAGCTGACCCACCGCCTCTAGGTACATGTGGGGAAACTGAGGCCTGGGAGGAGCCAGGCTATCCCCAAGCACAGAACACAGCTCAAGTCCGGGAGCTCAGAACACCTCAGAACAGAAGCCTGAGGCAAGAAGCTGGACTTCTCATGCCCTCCTGGCGAGTTGTGTCCCCTCCTGGGCTAACCTCCCTGTATTGAGGCCTGAGAGTCCCTGTCCTGCCCCCGCCTACCTTCCAGATGTGGTTTCTGGGTGTCCGCGGAGCAAAAGGAGAGGCCAGGAGGGCAGGGACCATAGGTCGGTAGACCTGTGTAAGGCCCTGCTTTGTGGCCCCCTGCCCTGCCTGGGAGGGCTGGATCCCACACGGCCTTCCTAGCCCTGGCCTGCTCTCACACAGACTGAGGGGGCTCAGGGTCTCTCTCGGGGGCCCTAGACCCAGCAGGCAGCCCTGGACTCAAGAGCCTCCCCTGAACCTAGGGAGTGCAGCAATGGGCTGAGCGGCCGCACAAGGTGTCTCTTGCCTTCTGGCCTCCTCAGTGTCTCCAGCCTGCACCTCTGGACACGAGGGGACCCAGCAGGCAGAGTGTGAGAATAAGCATTGTGGAGGGTCACAGAGGCCAGGGGCCATGCCCCTGTATTTCAGATGCGGAAGCAGGACCCATGGGAGGCGGCGGTAGGACGGGAACCTGACTTGCTTCCTTGCCCGGAGCTTACTGGCCTCTGCCCACAGTGGTTCTCCTGTCGGGAGGACCTGGGGTCCCTGTGCACACTGGGTCAGAGCCTAGGCCCACGAGGCTGTGGGTCTTTGCTCAGGGCATGAGGGTAGGAGACCGACCTCTTACCTCCAGGACGTGGTCCCACCTGCCCATGGTCTCCTCTCACAGCCCTCATGTCCCCTGGGGGGTGGTGTCTGGAGGGGGAGAATCAGGGAGCCATCTGCCGGGGAGGGGTGGCATGGAGCAGAGGTGAGGCTTTGAAGACAGATCCGGGTCAGACCCTCACTCTACCATACCAGCCCTTGCCAGGACCACGGGCCCTTCACGCCTTGGTGTCTCCCATTCCCTCCACGTAACGGCTGCCGGCCCCGGCCCACCCAACACCCCCCAGGCCGGTCCGGGATTTGCCCAGACCACAGACGTGACCAGACACACACAGAAGGCCAGGAACAGGATGTGCATGCTGCCCCGAGAGGAGGCGTTTACCGGGGACCAGCCGAGGCGCCCCCTTTGTAAGATTCTCGAGCTGCAAGGGCAGGTCTCTGAGCCCCGGCATGTGAGCGCAGCCCGGTCATGGGGCAGATAGCAGCGGTCCGCCCGTTGGCACCTGCAGCGGGACTCCCCGGGAGGCTCGGGGCTTGACCAGGCACCCCCACACCCGCCTGGGCCCCACCGCCCGCCCCTCACAGCTTCCCTGTCTCCCCTCACCAGGCTGTTCGATGTCGGGGGTCAGCGATCTGAACGCAAGAAGTGGATCCACTGCTTTGAGGACGTCACAGCCATTATCTTCTGCGTCGCGCTCAGCGGCTACGACCAGGTGCTCCATGAAGACGAGACCACGGTGAGTGGCCCTGGGCCCGCCCGGCCTGTGGTGGCATGGAGGGACTCGGCCTCGGTGGCCCCGGTGGCTCTGGGGCAGGGCCAGCTGTGTTGGCCGGGGTTCGGCCGTCGGGGGGCCGTGCCCGCGGCCAGGCAGACGGCCTGGGATTTGGGTGCGGGAGAGGCCACGTCGGACAGCTCGTGCCTCTTCGGTAAACACAGCAGAGGCCCAGGGGCCGTCGGGCCAGAGCGGAGTTAAGCCAATCCTAAAAGAAAGCCAGGTGCAGGCAAGCAAGAATGTATGTAAGACAGAAATAGCCGGTGTTCGGCCTGACAGCCTGCGGCCAGAGCGGCGTGTGGCTGCCAAGGGGAGGGCAGCGGGGCGCGGGGCCCCTCCTCAGAGGAGGACGGCCACGCTGGCCTCCAAGGGAGGTCCTCACCTGGAGAGAGGCGCGGCCTTTCTCTGGGCCTACTCCTGGTTCGCCGCCAGATTTCGGCAAGCCCGCCTCGGTTGCTATTATCTGTCAAAGTGGGGTAACGATGGTACCTTCGTCGTGGGGCCGTTGGCGAAGGAATGGGAGAATGCGCATGCAATGCCCAGAACAGCGGAGCTGGTGGTTGTTCTGTCACTGGCGACTGTCCCTTAGTGTGGGGGGCGTCCACTGAGCAGCGGGCCTGTCTGCAGAGCCTGCAAGGGAAGCTGGGTGTTGGCGTGGTGCACCCGCGGGGTCCCTAGAGACGAGCCCGTGGCACCCCCTGGGGGTCACGGGGTCCTGGCTGTGGGGTCAGCCCCTTGTGTGGGACGCACGCACAGACCCTGGGCCCCAGCCTCTCAAAGTCAGCGCTGAGAGCTTGAAGCAGTGTGTCGTCACGGCAGGCCCTGAGCACGGTGGCCTCTCTGGGTCTGTCTCCGCCTCACTCCTGGCCTGCTGGTCCCGCAGGGCTGCTGGGCGCATCCGATGGGCTGCAGGCTGGGGCGCCGCGCCATGGGGAGAGACTGGCACAGGGATGAGGCTTTTGGCAGACTGGGACCGGAGCCGTCGGCGGGGGGGCGTGGGCGGGGGTGAATCCCATGCTGGTTTGTCTGCCTTGCCCTTCCTCTTTCGGGGCCAGCTGCACCCCTGAGCTGGGTTCCAGCAAAGCCCCCTAAGGCCTGCCTTGTCCAGGGGTGAAGTTCCTGGGACCCTGGCTGGGAGCTCGTTCTGGTAATGCTATCACTCTCAGTGGCCTCGGCAGGCTGTGGCGTCTCGGGTCCCTGGAGCCGGGAGGTGGGTAGATGCCCACGCTGGGCTGCGCTTGGACCCGGACTCACTGGCCGCCCCCCACCATGCACCCCTGCACAGGGACGGCCCTGGCATATCTCTCACTGTTCCGCCGGTTGACTCTATGCTTTTGAAGCTGCCATTCACTGTGCAGTGGAATCCACCCACATGGTCTGGTGTCCACTTGGCTCATCTTTTCTCCCTCCCAAGCCTGGGAGTGAGAAGCAGGGCTGGGCAGTGAATGCGATGCTAGCCCAGCCACGGGTTGCAAAGTAAGCAGGGAGCTGGAGGGCAGGAGGGCCCCTCTCCCTGAACTCGCCTCTCCCCTGTGACCTGCCCTCCCGGGCCTGCAAGCAGCTTAAACCCAAGTCCCAGGCTCCAAAGCCATGGGGCTGGGCCTCTCACTCACCTCTGGAGCACCAGGGTGAAGCAAAGGGACATCTCTGTGGGTCTGGCAGCAAAAGGAGAGGCCAGGAGGGCAGGGACCATAGGTCGGTAGACCTGTGTAAGGCCCTGCTTTGTGGGGGCAGCCACCGGGCCCCCAGCTCCTTGGCCCTCGGCTCACCAGTGAACGCGGGCTGGTTAGGTGCCAGGCCTTGTGCTCGCGAAGCCCTCACAGTCTGCCCACCCCGTCCAGCCCGGACCTCCCGGAGCTCCTCACCAGCCCGGCTACTGAGTGCAGCACAGCTTCTGGGGACCTCTCTCCCCAGGCCCCTCGGCCTCCTTCTCTTCTTGCCTTTACTGTCCCTCTTCCACCCTCTCTCTCCTCTCTTCCTGCCCCATTTCTCCGGCCCTTGTTGCACAAGGGCTGAAGCACAGGACCTTGCGGAAGCCAAGGCCAGGAATGGGCTTTTCCTGGAGCCCTTTCCGCCCCAAAGCAGGCCGCCCGTGCCCCCTGGGAAGAGCAGCGGCCCCTCCGGGAACAGGCTTCACGACATGACCACCGCTCACAAAGGCGGCTCATTGGCCCGGCCCAGCAAGAACAATACCATGGCCAGAGAACTAAGCAAATGTCTGTGTGCCCAGGACACGGCCACACTGGGCAGCTGGGGAGCCAGACGGCACTGGCCCTGCCCGTGGGGGAGCGTGGGCAGCCGCTCCCTTCCTCCTTCGTAAGATGGCCCCGGTGGCTGAGCAGCCTCGTGGGCAGCGGTGAGGCCCACTGCACGCCGACTCTGCGCTCGGGAGGTGGCCGTGGCCGGGCTGCTCCATCCAAGCATGTGGCGAAAGGACAAGCTATGGGACACGGACACTCCGCCCCGGGAGGCAAAAGCTCGACCCTGCTGACCAGTCCTTGGTCCTCAGACTTCCTCTGTGGTCAGCCCGCACGTCTCTCCTGGCCCGGGGCAGGAGTGGGGCCTGCCAGCACAGAGGGGTCTGCAGATGGCTCCTGGAGCCTGGCCAGGGGCCGGGGGCTCCGGGTTGCCCCCCGCCGGCCGGCCGCCCCGCCCACTGCAGCCCGGCGGCCCGAGGGTTTCATCCTGTCCTCATACCCCAGGCCGGTGGCCCCGGCGGCCCCAGGCCTCGGTCTACCATCGCTTCTTCAGGCTCTGTCGTCACCGCCGCCTGCAGGGCCTTAACTTGCCAAACCAAGGCCAAAACCATGCGCAGATTCTGAGAGACGCTCCAAGCTGGGCAGGTATGAAGCGCCTCCCTCCAACCGAAACCATCAGTTAAGAGTTGAAAGCACCAGGTTGTCAGGGCCCCGCCGGGTGACTTGCTGTGACTGCCTGCCCCGCCCACTCCCACCTCCCCACCCTCGCCGTCCTCGGTCCTCGTCCTCGGTCCAGGGCGACCGTGGCCTCCGCCGGCCTGCGTGGGGGCCTCAGGATGGGCTGGCCTTGACTCCCCGGACCCAAGACTGGCGGAAGCAGTATTTCAGTTTTTTCCTCTCTCTTTTCCTCCTGTGTTCTGGGGTTTTATCTTCCTTTCCGTGTTAATCTGTTTTGCTGGGTTTCTTCTTGGGGTTCTTCTGGCCACTCTACTGAGAAACCAGCCCCAACAACTAGCTCACCCAGAGCCGCCGCCGGCCCAGCCGCGGTCCAGCCAACCAACTCGATCTCCCAACTGCACCAAGGCCACAGCAAGATCACCCCCCAGACGCTGTCCCCCTGGTGTCTGCTTCCAACTCTGGATTAATTCGAGGATCTCCTCGTCCTCGGTTAATGTTTCCCAAAGGAATGCGTGCACCCTCCCACCCCCGCTGGTGAAACCAAATGAGACCCCGGTAGAGAACTCTGCATGGCCCGTGGTTCCGTGTAGATGTGTTGGATGGTGGTGCTGCCCCCGCCCCCTGCGTGCATGGTGCATGTCCTCTCCATGGGCTGGAGCCCCTCGGGGGGACTTTGCTGCCCCATCCCAGGGCGGCCCTCCGCAGGGGGGGGAGGGTGGGCAGCATTCCCCACCCGCCCTGCCCACCCTGCTCTGCCCCAGCCTGCCTGCGTGTGGAATGAAGTAAGGAGCGTGTCCCGTTTGTCCTGCGGGTCCTCCCATCTCTGTCCCTCGGTGGTGCAGTCGGCCATGTCAGCGGGCCTTTCCTTTGCTTGGTGAGCTGTGTCGGTGGCCGCGGGGAGCCAGGGCCCCGGGCACGGCCAGCCCTCACCTGCCTCTCCGCTCTGTTGCAGAACCGCATGCACGAGTCCCTGAAGCTTTTCGACAGCATCTGCAACAACAAATGGTTCACAGACACGTCCGTCATCCTGTTCCTTAACAAGAAGGACATATTTGAAGAGAAGATCAAGAAGTCCCCGCTAACCATCTGCTTCCCCGAATACACAGGTAGACAGTCCCTGTCCCGGCAGGGACAGCAGGAGCCTGGGAAGCCGCTTCTGGCCATGCACATTCCTGGGGGATCCGCCCCTGACCTAGCCCGTTCCGCATTCCCCGGACTCTGAGGGGGCACAGCATTCTGTGAGGAAGAATCCAGCACAGAACAAAAGACGGGCCTCCCCCGCACCCCCCCCACCCGCCCCCTGAATGTGCTGTAGGGAGGCAGGCCAAGCGGTCAGGGGGAGCCCGGCTGGAAGCCTGGTTCTGCCACCCACGAGCTGTGGGCGCTCGGCTCCCTCCTGGAGGCTCGGCTTGGTCATCTGTAAACACAGATTATCAGCAAGGTGACAGCACCAGGGCGACAAGGGGCTTAAAAGCTGGGGCTTCGAGTCAGGCACCTGAGGGTCATGCCCAGCTCTGCCGCTCAGAGCAGGTCATGTAATCCCTGGGATTCTGCGGCCCTCCCTCAGGACTGGCTGTGAGGACAAAGTGCGCTTAGGAGCATGGAGAACTTAGCATGGCAACTGGCACATAGTAGGTGCTCACTAAACATTTGCTGGGACTGTTACCGTTGTGATTGTAAGTAACAACACCTCCATACGGGCTCTTACACGCAGGGAGTGGCCCATTGGCTCTGACAGAGCTTCTCGAGCAGTAGAGACCCAGGGCTCCCTGCAGAGGGGCTGAGGAGGTCAGGACCACCTCTGTTAATGGTGCCATAGTTTCCCCAACTGTGGAATGTACGGGCAGCCAGGGAGGACAGCCTGACCAGGGCCCCATGCACCAGGAAAGGTGGCCCACTGGCTTTTCCAGATGGCCAGAGCCGGGCCAGAGGGGAGAGTGGGTGGAGAAGTGGGCCTCCCCAGCCCGACCAGGCCCCAGCCTGGAAAGTACAGAGCAGGGGCAGAGCCCCAACAAGGCGGGCCTGTCAGGGGAGCACCCGGGCTGAAACCCACTTCCTTGAGAGTAGATGTGGGGGTCATGACTTGGGGCCAGGCAAGCAGTACTGTCTCCCCCCACCACAAGGCCAGGCTGACTACCCCAGAGGCCAGGCCCCCAGTAGCATGCGACCAGAGACAGATAAGACCCTCAGGCCCACCAGTCAGCCTCCTCTTAGCCACGAGTTGGGGGTTTGTGGATCCTGCCCTGGGTGACCTGGGCTGTGGCCTATGGTACAGTGGAAGCAGGCAGGGCGGGTCGGTCACCACGGCTGGTTTGGGGCTGAGGAAGTCTGAGTGATGACCTGTAGGTCCCAGGGACACTCTCCCTCACCTCCAGCCCTGATTACAGAAGGAGCTGTGGTCTGGTAGACCCTCAAGGCCAGGCCCATGTGCCCATGTGCCTGAGGGGCTGGGACCCCCTTCCAGATATGCCCCTTCCAGGCTTCCATCCCAGCCCAGCCCTGTGGCTCTAAGATCCAGCCCCACTCCCTGCCGGCCCTCAGCCACTGGTGGCAGCCCCACCGTGCCTGGCCCAGACTCCCGGAGCTCGTGGGGGCTTCAGTGCAAAGCCGGGGGTCCTGTTCTGCTTCTCCCCGGACAGCAGCTGATCTCCCGAAACACCTGTCCCTGGGCTCACCTGGGAACCGGGCAGCGTGGCACTCCCCAGGCCGGCCACAGAGCCAGGCGGCTGTTAATCCCCGGTAGCAAACGGGAGAAAGGCGAGGGTGAGAAGGATTGGGGAGGCCAAGGAGGCTCATGGGCGCCCAGCAACGGCCAAAGGACATGGGGAGGACAGGCCTGCAGGCCGGGTCAGCCCAGGGCCCGCCTTCTCCGAGTAGGACCCACAGTACGAAGGGACACTTGCAGCAGGAGTCAGTGGGTGCAGATTCAAAAGGAAAACAGGAGTTTCATGAAACGAGATTCACCCTTGATACAGACGAGGCACCATGAGCTTTGATATTTTGCTTCGTTATTTTCAAACTGGACGTGGACTGCCGACTTGACCGCGCAGCCCCCTGTTGGCTTCGCTGGGCCGTCACGCTCCCCCCGCATCAGGTCGTGCCCCCCGGGGTGGTCGCGGGAGGCCGGGCCTGCGGCGGCCTCGCCTCACCGGCCCACACCTGCTCTCTCCTCCAGGCCCCAGTGCCTTCACCGAAGCCGTGGCTTACATCCAGGCCCAGTACGAGAGCAAGAACAAGTCCGCCCACAAGGAGGTCTACACCCACGTCACCTGCGCCACCGACACCAACAACATCCAGTTTGTCTTTGACGCCGTGACGGACGTCATCATCGCCAAAAACCTGCGGGGCTGCGGCCTCTACTGAGCCCCTGCCTCACCCCCCGGCTGCCCACCTCCCTGCCTGGCCTGCTGCCCCGCCCCTCCCCTGGAACCAGAGCGCCACCACCGCTCACACCGATCTCTGCACTTGACAGCGAAGCACCTGCGGCCGGCGCCACGGAGGGTGGAGGGCACAGCCTCCGGGGGCCGCCCCTCCCCCAGACGTCAGAACACGCGGTAACGCGGGGGCCAGGCCGGGGGGCTGAGCGGCCTCCGCTTCGTCTCTGAGTGTTTGGTCCTGGGGGGATGGTGGCCGCCGTTTGGCCCGGAACGGGCATGCGCTACACTTGGTAACTCATACTCGAAGCCCCGGGGTCTCCTCCTGTGTGGGGGTGGCTCTGGGGGACACGGTGCCGGCCGGGGTGGGGCCAGCGGGAGCCACTGCTCAGCCTTTTCTGGGGTCTGTCTGGTGGAGGGCAGCTCCGTCACCAAAAGCCAGGGTGGGACCAGCCCAAGCACGTGGGGGTCCCAGGGCTCAACCTTGGCGAGTGCCTCCCTCCTCCTTCTGCCTGGATCTCAGCCCCCAGGCACAAGCCCTTTCTAATCTGGACCATCCTCCCTTGCACACCCTTGGAGGAACCCCATCCCTGACTCCTCACAGGTCTGGAAATGCTTCTGCGACGGGTATTGCAAAGGCACGTGGTGGATGGTGGGAGGGGTCGAGTCCCGCGCCCGGCTCCGGTGTTGTCTGGGATGGGGGCCTCACCCAGTGCTTGCAGGCTCGAGGGTGACCCATTCACTTTCTCCCAGCGCCTGGGTCTCAGGCAGCAGCTCCAGAATGTGAGTAGACGCGCTTCTCCTTCTCGAGTCACAGTGAATCCAGCTCAGCAAGGGCAGGCACGGCCCCTTGGGCCCCCTGTTTTGAGGTTGGGGAGGCCCAGGGGAGGTATTGATGTGGCCCCTGCAGCCGAGGCCTTGGTGAAGAAACCAGACTTTGTGCAGAGCTTGTGCTGTCCGGCCAGCCCTCAGGGGCAGAGGAGGACCGACCGAGGCTGGAATGTGCACTGCGAGGGGGCCCAGGCTGGCTCGGACGCATACCCAGCGCCCCCTTCTCTGGAGAGAGGGTCCTAGGAGGCCTGGGAGGGGCTTTGCTACAGAGGTTCCTGAGCAGGCAGGGGTGGGTGACTCTGGGATCTCCTCGGGCAATCAGCACGCCTCTCTCTCACACCCGGGAGCCTCGGGGGGCCAGTGCCACCAGCCAAGGCCACAGACAGGCCCCGGGGGCTCATATGGCAGGCTAGGGAATCAGATGTGCCCCTGGAGGGGCCCCTGGCTCCTTCCTCCAGCCCTCTGCTCTCCCAGCCTCCACTCTGGGCTCTGCTCCTGGACACCCAGTGCGGCCCCCTGGGCTGCCCCAGAGCCAGGGAGAGCCCCGTGGCAACAGCTCTGGGCTTCTCGGTTCCAGCAGCCCCGGAGCTCTGGCTGCACAGGAGGCCCAGGGCAGCGCCCCCCGACCCCCGTGCCAAATGCCTACAGGGAGGGGCGCCACCGGTAAGCCCCCTCCGTCACTGCGCTGAGCGCTGCACCCCGGCCGCCTCGGGGCAAATCACAGGGCTGCCGGGCTGCAGGAAGGGCCCCGCCAGCCCGAGGGCACTTCAATGTTGCTGGCCTTGCTGTGTGCGAGGCCCCCGGGCGCTGGCGCGGCAGAGGACAGCGCCGAGAGCCGGCGGTCTCCAAGCCCTGCCACAAGCGGCCGGGGCCAGTGAGGCCGCTCTGCCCAAGAGCAAAGACATAGCGGGTATTTTCCGGCATTCCCACCCGGGGGGGGGGTGGTCAGCTGCGCCCCCAGCTCGCCCCGGGAGCCCACACTCACAAGCAGCCCCAGAGGAGGGTCGCTTGGCCAGCCCCACCTCTGAGGCTTGTGGCCCTGGAGGTGGGAGCCCCTGGCCGCCTGGGGCCCTCCTGTCCTTCTGGGCCCACGGACCGCCCTGCTGCTTGCAGTGCTCCCGCTGTCCCACCCTCCCTGCCGCAGGGGTCCCCGCTGTCTAGTGGGAACCCACAAGGAGAGGGTATCCGGGACGAAGGTCCCTCCCCGTCCGCTGCAGCTCCCATCCACGTCGTTCCCAGTGGCGCCACAGTGGGGAGGGATGACAGAGGGGGACACGAGTTTTGGCTCCGTCGCGGGTGTGGGTGTGAGGGGAAGAGGTTGAGAGTGTGAGAGACCGGATTCTTGTCCACGGTGGCCACATGCGTGTCCCCAAAAGGACCATGCTTAAAGTCTGTGAATGGCTCTAACTGAGCGGGCTAAGGACACCTGGATTTCTAGGAGGAGCACCTTTGCCAGACCCATGACGATTGTGCGCGCCGCCTAGATGCCTGTGGGGCGGTTCTGTGCCCCGCACCGACCGCCCTCCCGAAAGCCCGCTCTTGGCCGAGCAGGCCGTCCTGCTGAAAACCAACAGGCCCCCTGGGCTCCCGGCCTGACTGGAGGGAGCGGTGCCCGAGGCCCAAGTAGGAGCTCAGGTGAACCTGCGCACTCCGGCCTGAGGAGGGTGTGGGCTCTGGCCCAGGCCCGAGCAGGAGAGCTGTGACACTCTGGGCTCCTGGGACATTTTCCATGGAGGCTTTAGAAGCCAGGGGCCCTGGCCCCTTCCCCTCCCCTCTCGGGGTCTATAGCCGTGAGCTCCGACCCAGGAATGGTGGCAGAGCCCAGGCAGAAGGCCACGGTGCCTCTCCCGGCAGCCCAGCTCCACACCCCGCTGCGGGAACCGGAGATACCCGGGCCCTCCGCGACCATCCGGGGCAACAGTGAGTCTCCCGCGGCGGGGGAGGGGTGCAGCAGTGGCAAGAGACACCCCCCCACCCGCCACAGGACCCCTCGTAGGCGGGCTGTCTGTAAACCCCCAACAGGGAAGGCCCGGGAGTCCTGTCTCCGAGGCCCTTCCCTTCTGCCGGCATGAGCCCTGTAAGGAGGGGCCGCCCCCAGGAGTGTTCACAGTTACCCCGCAGTGGCGCAGTGGCCGATTCTGCCAAGTTTTTCCTGCCTCCACCCCCGCCTCCCTTCTTGACCTTCCCTCTTTCCCCCTAGCCTCACTCAGAGTGCTCCTCAACCCTCTTGGTAAGTAAACCGGCCACAGTCCCGACTCAGCCCCTGCTCCAGACCAGGTGGGGCTCGGTCCAGCCCCCTTTGGGAAGTCAGGCTGCATCTGTTCTTCTCCGAGCTTCTGGGAGTTATTAGGGGCACCTGGCAGCTCTCAGGCACGGAGGCCCGAGGCTCCGGCTCTGTGGCCACCATGGATTCAATCTGGGGTGCCAGGGGCAAGCACCCACAGACGGCCCCCCCCCCCGCCGCCCCTGATCAGCGCCCAAACCTACGGCAGCCCAGGGCACAACACACAGACCAGGGAACAGGGCCACGCTGGGAGCTGCCGCCCCCGACTCCCCAGTGAGGCCGGTCCTGAGCCACCCTGCCCAGAGGCCTTCCCTCTGGGGGCTCAGGGCTCCGACAGACCCCGCCCCAGCCAAACACCCCTGTCAAGGGAGGGGCAGGCTGGGACAGAAGCAGAAAGAGGCCTAAGTCCTGGGCCCTCTCATCAGAGATGGGGAGGGGGTTCCTCTGGAGGGGAAGCGCTCAACCCCGGGCCCAGTGCTCCAAGACCACCTGCGGGAGCCCACACCCCTTACAGCACTGCTGTGACCCGTTCCCTCCCCGCCTCCCCACTCCCATCCCTCCTGCCTCCGCTCTTCTCCTGGCCCATCCCCACCCCTCCCAGGCCTCCTCCCCACGCTCCCACCCCCATCCCAGGCAGAGGGGAGCCGGCCACCTCCCAGCCCCGCCGCCGCCCACCCCACATTAACTGTAATTTTGTAAGAAGAGTGACTTGTTGGTTTAATAAATCTCTAGTTACTGTAAGAATTTACTGACTGCCGTAATGTCTTCATTAGTGACCTGCCGTTCATAAGGAGTGCCAGCTTTCTCCAGCGCCAGTATGATGCATTGCATCAGCACCCACATGACACAGGTCCCCGTGCTCGGCCCCGGCCGGTCCCAGGGCCAGGCCTGCGGGCCACCCAGCCAACGGGCACACGCTTCTGGGGGTGGCTGGCCTGCCCCCGCTGACCCCTTGGGATGGTCACAAGCCCACCTTCCTGTCCTAGTGTGCTTGCTGCGGCCCCCCCACTGCCCAGGCCAGGGAATGGGGGGGGACAGGAAGGCGACCGCGGGCAGGAAGGCATGGCCATCACCTGGTCGTGATCTCTGGCTTCTTTCCCTTTTCTCAAGTGCTGCTTTCGCCATTTGGCATATATTCCCGCGTCTCTTTTCTCCGGGGAAGCTCGCAGGGACAAGCAGGGCTCCCGGCTCACGGGGGGTGTGTTCCGGTCCGCATGTGGAGGGAGGGCGGTCGGGCCTGCGGGTGTGGAGGGGGCTCAGTGCCGGCGCCTCCCCCCCCACGGTTCTCCCCGAGCCTCCAGGATCAGCCCTCCTCCAAGACCCTCCCTACAAAACCAGGTCCAACCCTGCAGAGCGCCTCTTCCCCCTGAAGACCTTTTCAGTGTGCGCACTGTCCCCCCAACTAGACTGTGAGCTCTCAGAGAGCAGGACTTGAGCTGGTCGTTCCCACAGCCTCCCAGCAGCCCAGCAGGGGCCCCTGCACGCAAATCCAGTTGGTGCTGCTGGGCAGAGCAGGTGCATGCACGTGCCCTGCAGCCCTGGGCAGAGAGGCCGTGGAGGGGCTGAGCCTTAGCAGAGTGGACGTGTGGGGCATAAGTGGCTGGCCCCCACTTCTCCTGCAAGCTCTCGGGCCAGCCCGTGTGCCAACGGGACGCAGTCCCCACTCGGCTCAGGTCACTCTGGTGATCCCTTCTGGTCCTGGGAGTGCTCCAGCGTATGTCCCCGCCACATCGCCCAGTGTCTGAAGACCAAAACAATGCTCGGGACAGTGGTGCAGTGGAGTTGGGAGCCGGCCTCTGGCTGTGGGCTTCCAGCTCCTGGTTGAGCGGCTATGGGACCAGGCGGCTCTGTGTGGTGGGAGGCCCTTTCCTAGTGAGTCCTTGGGTGGCGGAGCATCTGTTCTCTGCCCCCAGAGGTGGCGCCGGGAGCCTGAGTGTTCCCAGCCCTCGGCCTTGGGCTTCCACCTGTCCTCATCTGAACGGCCCCGGGGAGCCTCCCTGAGTGCAATTGTCCAGGCGGCGGGCCAACTTTGGGGGGCTGAGAACAGAATGTGCCGGTTGAGGCTGGGAGGGTAACAGGATCATAGGTGTTTACTGAACTGGTTTACAGAGCAGGCCAGGGCCGTTTCCTGCAGCTCGCAGAGGAGCTGAGAACCACACTAGTGTGCAGGCTCCCGAGGGGCAGCTGAGCTCGTGTTCTAGCAACTGGCCTGAGCTGTGAGCATAGGGTTTGGGGCTGGGAGGAACCACCTTCCCATGCAGAAATGGCTTCGCTCACAGAGACACGTGCTCCCCTGCATTGCCAAGAAACATTACCCAAGTTTATGTGCTTGACACCCCACTGTAGAATGAGCCAGTCCTTGCCCAGGGCAAAGGGCCGCCCCCCTCAGGCTCTGCTCTATTGGGAGTGGCCATCACAGTCACTCCTTTGCTAAACAGATTCGTGTGTGCAAGACGGTACTTCACGTCTGCATTGCTCCAAACTCCGTGCAGCATCAGACGTGGCTGAGTTTGGCCCAGCCAGAGGAAGTCTGGCCAGACCCCCAGGGGCCCCTGCCTGGGCAGGACCATCTCCCCACAGTGGTGGCATGCAAGGATGCTGGCAAGAGCCTGGAGTGACTTCCCCTCCGTCCCTCACCACTCCCAGAGGACATTTCCACCCACAGATAGGGCCCCAGGGGAAAGACCTGGGCCGGAAGTGCCGCAACCCAGCTCACGGGCTCGTCCAGCACCACCTCCCCGACCCCCACACACCTGCCCATGCGGGGAGACCATCCAGTGGCTGGGTCTCAGTCCAGTCTCTGCCATTAGCCCCGGGACAACGGTATAGACGGCCCCGCACCGGACTGAGCGGCCCTGTGCTGTGACAGGTCGCGTTTCTACTGTCACCTTCGAAGGAGCCCTGGGGGCCCAGGAGCCCCCGCCTGAGCTGCTGAGCAGCCCCGTTCCTCCCTCTCAAAACCTAATTCTCTTCTCTTTCCCTGTCTCCGTGTCTGTCCCTCCCGCTGTCTGTCTGGCTCTCTTTCCCTCCCCTGGGGCTGCAGAACCGCATGCACGAGTCTCTCATGCTCTTCGACTCCATCTGTAACAACAAGTTCTTCATCGATACCTCCATCATTCTCTTCCTCAACAAGAAAGATCTCTTTGGTGAGAAGATCAAGAAGTCACCTTTGACCATCTGCTTTCCTGAATACACAGGTGGGTGTCGGGGAGGCCCCGCCTCTGCCCATGGGCTTGGGGTCGGGCTGCCTGGCCTCCGCCCCAGTCCCACAGGGACGCGGAGACACACGGTAGGGTGTGGCCCACTTGGGCCCTTCCCAGGACACGGCCCCGGGCCGGTGGGGAGGAAACGGACCCTCCCGATCCACTGGTGTCGCAGTCACGTGACTCGAGAGCACCCTGGCAGGAATCACGAGGCAGGACAGGACCACAGCCTTCCCCTTTCATCTTGCTCACCGTCTAGAAAAACTCTCCTGCCTCCCCAGGCTCGCCAGTGGCCTGCCCTTAGCCCTGCGCTGGCAGGCTGCGGGGCCGCACAGCACCTTGGCATGAATTCGCAAGCGTGGGCACATGGCCTGGAAGGCGGTCCAGGCTGCTTTTGAGCCCCTACCTGCTCGAGTGTATGGTGTGCGGCCCTCCTGCCCCTCCCCCACCACACCTGCCCCCCCCTTCCCCCAGCCATCCCCCCACCATCCCTGCTGTCCCCCTCTTCCTATGGCCCTGGCCTTTCCCTCACATCAAACCACTCCAGCTCTCTGCAAGCCTCCTCCACCCCTGGCCGCCTCTCTCCCGCCTTCTCTGGGGGGGCAACTTCTCTCTCATCAGGCTCCCGGGAGGATGCGTCACAGACCCCCGTGCAGAAGCTCCTTCTGAAGGGGTGATGAGGTGTCAGGCCATCTCTAGCAGCGCATGGAGGGCGGCTGCTGGGCTGCTGGTGAAGGCTGGCCGGCGCTAGTGGGGTAGCAGAGCCCAGCCTCCATCCCTCTGGGGACCGGGAAGCTTCTAGTGGCCCTCGGGCCAGCAGTGGAGGAGGATGTCCTGTCAGAAGTTGGCTCCGCCGGGAACCCACACACTGACAGCCCCGGGGGGAGACGGGCTGCACTCAGCTCCCAGGGCTATACAGGCCCCCGGACCCAGCCGGGTTCCCGAAGAGACGGGTGCGGGCCCTCCAGCCCCCTCTACCGTGAGGAAGAGGCAGCCCATCAGCCTGTCCCCTCCCTGATGCTCGGCACGGCTGGCGAATCCGGGGCATGGGGAGACAGGGTGGGCGCGGGCTCCTGGAGCCAGACGCCTGCTACTGTGGGCAGACCGACCACCCGGGCACGAGGCTGCCCACGCTCGGGGTGGCCGTGTGGGTAAATGGAAGGAACAGAGCCAGGTGCCAGGCGTACTTACCGCTGGCTGTCACTGTCCTCGTGTTACTCCGAGGATGGAAACGAAGAAAGGGGCAACCGGCCATGGAGACTAGAGGGAGCCCGGGAGGGCATGGGGCGAGCCGGAAAGGCCCAGCCCCCGGCTGCCCCGGGGCCGAGGGGGGCCCTGCCTGGGGGCGGCCTGGCTGCAGTCTGCTCTCCTCAGACACTCCTGAGCTCCCTCAGCCTCAGCTGAGGCCCGTCAGGACCAATTCAGGTCCTTAGAAAGTTGTGGTGCCCAGAGAGTGGCTTGGAAGCCACCGGCCCCAGCAGGCCTCCTGAGGCCAGTGCCACTCTTGCGGGCAGGTTCGACCCTCAGGCTCTTCCTTGTCCCCAGGGTCCAGCCCCACGGGAGCCCAATCTGGGACCTGGTCCGAGGACTGGTCAGTCTTGGTGCCGGGGAGTATAGGGCTCTGGCGCCCCCGGAGAAAGTCAGCCTGACTTTGAGAAACATGGGTGTTTCTAGGACCTCCAGAGGAATCCAGCTTGAGTTCAAACTGCCCCCCCATGATGGATGACAAATGGTCACCGACACAGTGGTGCCATGGGGCACCAAGGCCTGTGGGACACAGAACAAGCTGAGGGGCAGGGGCCGGGACAGGGGGCGGCTGGGTGTGCAAGGGGAGCTCGAACGGATGGCCGGGTGCTGACCCCGCAGACGTTACAAAGCCACAGCCAGGCACCCCCGCCATCTGGGTGGGGCGCCCCCGCAGGCTTCTCACCTCCATCAGCGCCCAGTCTT